ATTTAATGGAAGATGAGGAATGTAAAGGTTTAATCCCACTCTTATCCTCATTTAGTCTATTTTGTTTTTAAGTTTATTATTTATTTTTAATCTATTTTTAAAAAAAATATAATAGTTTACTTGCATATCCCTTTAATTATTTCTTAGTAAACAACGTTATTAATAATAACTAGTGGGCTGCGCCCCCTGCTTGCTAACGCTTGCCAACCCCCAAAAATTGCTATGCAATCTTATATGGTTTGCTTCGCAAACCAAGCTCGCTTCGCTCGCTACTAACTTCGATACATTGCAAATGCGCAAAATTCTAAGAATACAAAACAATCTTTCAAATCCATATAACAACTTTTTTTTTTAAAAAAAAATTACATCTTTTCAGTAAATACTAAGTCATTGAAATAATTGACATGTAATTCGTTAAACCTATTAGAAATGTGCTATAGTATAAAATCTTAAAATAAAATTTCTAAAACTGATATCTCTTTAAAAAGGTTAACATTTTGGCTATAATTAAGTCTATTAAAAATTTAAATAAGTGAATTGCAATGGAAAAACCTGCATAAACAAATAAATTCTAGTAAAACAAATAAATTCGTGATATAAATCAAAAATCGTCAAATAAATTCGTAAAAAAAAATGCGCTTTCAACAAAATACTAAAATAGAGATCTATCGACAAAGACTACTCCCTTCTGCCTAGCTTATGCTCTCTCTTGTTATTTCAGTTTCCGTTTTTAAAAGCGCTATATGTTGAGCCATCTCAGCTAGATTTGGCATGTGACAGTTTTAGCGACAATAATTGATCGATTTTTTAGCGTTGCCTTTCTGGGAGTTGTAACAAGGCTTTTTTTTGTCGCCGTGTAAGAGAAATATATATATAGGTAATAAAAACACTTCAAAAAATCATACCCTAAATAATGTTTTTATTAATTATATAGTATAAAAATATTTTATATTTGGATTAATAATTACTTTAAAAAAATCAGTTTATTTAAATCTAATTTTTTTTTAAATTGCTTGTTTTAAATCAATGATTTTTTTAATGAAAAGGATATGGGACTACATTAATAATTTACATGCATATTTCTGTCATTATTTCTTAGTAAAATACCATCACTATCACTGAAATCAGGCTATTTTTTTAAAAAAAAGTTCACTCTCTAAAGAATGTATTTACAGTGGAGCATCGTTTATACGACGATCACTTATACGACGTTTTAGAGTGGTCCCAAATCATTCCTATTCATTTTAATGTAAAAATATATCGTTTATGCGACGCGCAGAATCGGTTATACGTCGATTTTTAGATTTTGTTCACGTTTATTTAATTTTTTATTTTTTCTTGTGTATTTCAAAAAAGGGCAGCATTTGCCAACATGAATGATACAGTAAAGGGTGTCAACAAGAATGCTTGGATGACGACCGTAATTTTTACTAGATGACTGAAAAAACTAGACAATGTTATGAAGAGGCGAAAACGAAAAATTTTGCTATTCATCGACCAATGTCCAGCGCACCCATCGATACTAATTATTTTGGAAAATGTAAAAGCTCTCTTTTTTCCTGCAAATTGCACAAGTGCGCTTCAGCCATTAGATTTGGCCGTGATTAGAAATTTAAAATTGCATCATAGAAAGCAGTAAGTTCAACTCGCTATTCAAAGCATTGTAGAGACTAATAGCAAGAAAATATAATTAAAGGTAACATACATTCAAATTGCTCACTGCAATTTTTCTTCTTTGGTTATTTGTTTGTTTTGCTTTGTCTAATTTAGAATGTAAATCAACACGTTAAACATTAAAATTAACTGAAAATAGAGTTAGTTTCAGTTTTAGAAGTAAAAATCAATTATACGGCGTTATCGTTTATACGACGTTTTTCGGTGGTCCCTTCGGCGTCGTACAAACGATGCTCCACTGTATTAGTTATATTGTATAAAATATTTTTTTAATTACATTAATATTTTTTTGTAAAGCAAATCAACTTTTTTTAATTAATGGCTTCCTGAAATATAGTTGATTTAAATCAATAACTTTTTTATTAAAGAAATCAAGAGATTCAAATCTCAATTTTAATGTTTTTTGTGTTCCGGATGTGTTGATATGGTGAATATGCCCGGATATGTTGATATGTCCTGATAATGTTGAATTCTGGATTTTTTTTGTTAGAACTGTTTTAAAATATAAAAATTTTATATTAAATACAAAAAATTTATCTTGTGTAATGTAAAGTTATATAAATTTTTTCCTAATTATTCTTGAGCTCGAAAGCATGAGTCCCTATTCTAAAATATGAAATTTTCATATGACAATATAAGAAAGGATTGACAACAATGGCTTATTTTTTATTTATCATTTTATCATTATTTGAACATTTAAATAATCACTTTTTGACCCGCTCAATTTACGCCGATAGTATCGTAAACTGATGTAATGTTTCGATTGTATTTTGGGCAGTTACTGATATTGATTTTTACGTATTTTTTAAATATCCCTATATATTTTAAACAATATGGAAAATTCGAATTGTGCATTTGAGTATTTACTTTTTAAATCAATAATTCTATCGAATTTTTGGCAGTTATTGCTGTGGATTTCTCCACAGTTTTTGAATCCAATATTTTTAATACAATATTATTTGCAACAACCTAATCTCAAAACGAAACACGCAATTGATTAGTCCGATTCGCGTGACTTCGCCGCCGATCTTTTTTCCGACAATTACTACAATGGATTTCATGATTTATAATTATTATTTTTTTATTGTGACGATTATTTACAAAATGAAGAGGGGAATAATTTCCCCAACAAAATGTGAGAATGTCACCCATAATATTCGATTAAAAAATTATATGTTCAATTTTAAAAAAATTATGCTTATTTTTTCCTTTTGTAAACGCTTTTGTTATTTTAAATTAGTAAGATTATTAAAAGTCAGAAAGACATTAGTTGTGGTGAGTTTTGTCGAAAAAATTCTGTCACACTGATCTTATCTTGCATATTTATATTGATGTACGTGTTTTATCTATTATAGATACATACATTCAGCTATTGCATAACATATATTACTTTTTATATCAGTATACTTTAATTATTTTCACAAATATGTACATTTCTTACATATATAAACTTGATTAATTTTTTTTTAATTTCGTTTTAGCAAATTCTTATATTTGAGGTGATTTTTTGTAATCACAATTTTGACAAAATAAATCAAGACAAAAGTTGATACAATATTAAATGTGTTTTAAAGTGAAACTTGAGAAATGTTGATGAGAAGTTTTTTTCTTTTTTTATGGATTTCCCTTTTTTTATGGATTTCCTGCGTTGAAATATGCTTTTTTTCGATTTGCAATTTATTATGAAAATATGATTTAATGAAGCAATTTTTTACAATGTGTGTAAGAATTTTGATAATGTTGTAACTGTTGACTATGTGTTCTTATTAGCACTAAATTAGTTTTTGATTGTTGTATATGTACACCGAAGAGCCATTACATTATGACCACTCTGCTAATAACATGTAGGACCACCTTTAGCCCTCAAAACTGCTAGCATCCGCCATGGCATTGATTCCACAAGGTGCTGATAGGTAGTCTGAGGTATCTGGTACCAAGCGCTCACCAACTGGTCCTGCAATTCTCTCACATTGCGAGAGGGTAGCGTGGCAGCACAAATTTGGTTTTCCAAGTAGTACCACAAATGCTCTATTTGATTAAGGTCAGGTGAATTTGGGGGCCAAGACATGATTTGAACGTAACTGGAATGTTCTTCGAACCAATCCGTGACGATTCGACCCTTATGACATGGATAAACTGTTGCCATGAATGGGTGAACCTGGTCTGCATCTATGTTCAAGTAGCTTACTGTTTGTCTGCGATAGGTACTCTGCCAGACATTCGTCTGGAGCTGTGGCGGTGACTATGGTAACGAGGTATGATTATTTCAAGTTGGGATGCAGGGTTCCTCATTAGGACTGGTTTTGGCGAAAGAAAAGGAGACCTCTTCATCGAAGCCACCCTCCTGAAAAGGCCCTCTTCTGGTTTCCATAGCACCAGACTGCCGCAGATTAGTGGCGGTCAGAGTACTTATCTTAGACAAACAATACAGACGTCAGGAATTGTTCTATGAGGATTATGGGTCCTAATGTGTAAGAATGCTAAAAATAGAAGTGTAAGAATGCTAAAAATAGATTCAATTTAGACGTTAAAATGCTCTGACCAAATAAGTAAATGAGGAAAATAGAGAAAGTAAGACCTAACAGAATACTAGATTAAAAATTATAAAGTTTTGAATAACTAAATTATGAAATTTTAAAGTCAATTCTAAAAGAACAAGAAAATAATTATTTTATTTATTATTAATTCATGAATAAAAAGGTCAAAGGATGTACATGGTAAAGGTTCAAGGTCAGTACATGAATGCAAAGCACAGCAAAACATGTAAAATAACATGTTATAATCATTAAAATTTAAAAATTTTTGTACCAGACACGTTCTCTTATTTCATTTGAATACCACACATTTTAAATCCATATTACACACTGAACAAATATTTGTGCAGCAAAGTTTTTTTAAATACATGGAGTAGAATGCAAAAATCTATTTTTTGTTACTATTCTGCAAATTCCGAACATATTTCTAGGTGACAAATGTGTCGCCAATGCGTGTGATTTTAGCGACATTTATAGCCTTTGAAAGATAGATGGCCTGGTGGTTTGCCTGTGAATAGCAATAAAGTTTATAGTTTAAATAAATTAAGTGTAGTCCATATTATTATTATTATTATGATAATAATAAACTGACAAAAAAAATTTCTAATTACATAATTTTGTTAAATATTCTGAGAAAATTTTGTTACATTAGTAGTTGTTAAAAAAAGATGTAATTTTATTTTTAAATTTTCAATTTCAAATTTCTCTCTTACATAAAAGATAACAGTGAACCATCTTTTTTGTTTAATAAATGAAAGTATAAATTAGATTTTAAAAGAAATTTTATTTTAGGCTAATGTATTTTCCTTTGGTCTTATCATGTGGGAAATTATTACTAGAATCAAAGCTGATCCTGATATTTTGCCTAGAACAGAGGTATTTTTTACCTTCTTAAATAGTCTACTTTTATGATGTAAATTTGCTATTTTTCATGTTTGCGCATAAAGCAAAACGAAATTAAAAGCAAAAATCAAAAGCTTTCATTGTACTTAATTTTTGGCCTAATGTTTAAAATAGCCAATCATGTTATTTAGCCATGAGACTGGATATTCTGCTCTTTTTTAATTTTATCTAATATACTATTTTTAATTTATATATTTCTGAGTGTGTTGAAAAAATAACCCTATTGCTGAAATTTTTCAGTCATTCAACTTTCAAAATATGTCAAAACAATTAAAATAAAATTTTAATTTCATAGATCGATAAAGATTAAGGTAAGGTGCAAGGAATTTAGATTTTAAAATGTTTGCTTATTAGTAAATTAATTCCTTTATTAGTTTTTTGTAAGCTGTTAGTGTTTGTCATTTAAGTTTGAGTTTCTATGCTCAGCTTTGTTTTTTATTTATATTCATTGTGACTGTTTGCAATACTTAAATGTTATTCGATTTAAACTTGTTATTCGATTTAAACTTGTAAGATTCCAAAGATATTTCAGTTTTTCCAAGATAATTCAAACATCTTACAGATGATACACTTTCAGAAGATGTGTATGAAGTTGTGAAGATGTGAGGGAAATGTGAAGTTTGTATATTTGTTATCTTTCAGAAAGATATTAGTTTTAAAGAGGCATGTCGCAGAAAACCTGAAAAAAAAATTCTGCCACAGAGGATAGTACTAACATAACTTATATTAATTCAATTGTGTACCCTAATTTGGTTCTTGATCATTTTGACTACTGGCTAATTTAATCTCGATACTTAATTATGCTTGGTTTCACTTGAATGATTTTACAAGGATTATCTCTCTTTTTATTTCAAGTATAACAATGTGTCAGATTTTCTTTATCTTTAAAAAAAGGGTTAAAAGTGCTTGATACTAAAAATACCTATTTATTCTTTAATATCTGAAACTAATACTTGTTTTAAATAACTTAATTTTAATTCAAATAAATTATTCAGAAATATTTTCAATTTTCAGTATGATGAAGATGTAAGATGCAAAACGAATGGATTTCAGAATGATTCAACTAAAATTCCACCACCTTTTCATAGCCATAATATTGTTTCTGCGTCTTTTCTTTCTGAGAGGTAAGTTTGCATTCCTAATCTAGGCATAGAAAACTTGTGCTCTGAATTCTCTTTTATACTGATGTTTTGCTATGCATTTTTTAATTCTGTGATAAATTTTTTCTCCTAATATTGCAGAATTAGAACATGTTTTGTATACTACATAATTAATGTGAAATACACATTAACTGCTCCAAATATTTTTAGTAATTCTTGTAAATATTTATAAAATCAGTTCAATTAACTAGAAGTGCTGTTAAGAATATTATTTGTTTTAGTGTTTTAAATATTTTTTTTTTTTAATTTTTCATTTTAAAATTTTTTTTAACTTGTCTTAACTAATGCTAATTCATTTTACTTTATATTAAGGATTAATTCACTACTTTATTTTATCTAACTGTAAAATTCTTTCAATAAATTATTTATTAAGTTATATTTTTTAAATATGTGTTTTTACTATGTTGATTAGAAGTTAATAAATATAACTTTTATCCGTTAAAAAAACTTTCATTGTGTCTTTATTAATTATTTCTTAATATAATTCAGTTCAAATAATAGTTTTTCTTTGAGGAAAGAAAATAATCCAATATTTTTCTTCTAAAAAATATTTTTCTTTTGTTTAAATCTGTATGTCTTAAAAGTTTGTTTTTATTCTGTTCATAAAGTTAGTTGTGTTATGATAAAAAAAATGTGAAATTCTTTTCACAGTATTTTTATTAATTTTTCATTGTAATGATATTTTTAAACATGCTCATATATTTTTCATTGTATTTTAAATTATAAAACAATCCATATTTAAAATCATCAGTCCCCAAAAAGTGTGATTTGACTGCAACTATACAATCCCAGATGAGTAAGGGCCTAAGGCTCTCAGAACCTTAAGGCATTATAGTAATCTTTCTTCTTTTAATTTTTGTAATAAACAGCAAAACTGGTTTGATTGCAGGAGGAATCTGAAAGGAGTTGAAAGATGATTGTTTAAAAGAAACCTGCAATTTTCAACCTCAAATTCAACCTGTTATGGTGTTTATCACTCGCACCTTCTTTTGTGTAATTTCTCAGATTTGATAGCATTTTTTACTCATTTAAATATCAATTTGCAACCCCGGTGTGTATTGTATACATATTTTAATTTCACTTTTGAAGAGGATTCTAAAAGTACATGTCAATGAGGCCTTATGAAGCACTGAATGAACATGTAAAAAAAATTTTTTTTTAAATACCTCTTTTATACTTAAAAAATTCATTCAACTAATTTTAAAAAATAAACCTTGTAGCTGTAGGAAACAGCTAATTAGGCAGTTTTGGGTATAAATAAAATCAATCGTAGCATCAACCTTTAAACAAAAGTTCTAATGTGTGTTCAACAATTTTCAGCTAAATTATATTCTTTACTCAGACTAATTGCACTGAATTACATTTTATTGAGTATTAGACAATCAAAAATAGAAGCTTTCAGAATCACGGTTAATTTTGCCAACATTGCATGTCTTGCCATAAAAGAATTGAAACAGAATAGCTTATCATATTAACTTTTGAATATTTCATATCTAGTGGTGTGAAAATAATTTTAAATCAAATTTACATAAACAAAGAATCGTTCATTCAAACATGAAGTTTGCTACTACAATAAGAAATTTTTCCAAAACTATGGGAAGTTGGCTACCCTTCTTTAATTATGCATCATTTTGCTTCATTTTTTTACAAAAAAAATTAAGTTTTTTAAAATTATATGAATTAAAAGTGTACCTGTTTATTAGAAACTGCATGGAGAGATTGTTTTGTTGCAAAAAGAGTTATCTTATTTTTGTGAAATATTTTCATACATGGCTTTATTAACCTGCTTTCATCGCAAAGATGTGGGAGTACCATTTACAACTAAATTAGCCATCGGCTACAACGTCATAGAGCATTGGCTTGAATTTTTGAATTTAATGTGGACCACTTAAATATACATATCTGCATGATGCTCAATGTTTCATTTATTTTTTAAAAAAATGATTTCCTCATTTTGCAGATGCGATATTTAAATGACATAATCAAATTTAACTGACATAATTGAATCATGAGAACTGAGTGAACTGTATTATGTTAGTCAGCAATATTTAAATAGTAATATAGTTATTTAATAAAAAAATTAAATAAATTTTTTTTTTTTTACTTGTGTAAGAAATATTCGAAGTTTCCGTTGTCTGTCCGACTAGTATAACCAATGATATAATGATGTACACTAACATTTGCAAACAAGATCTTTTTAATTAATGATATCAATATACTTCGTCTTCCATTCTGCTTTTGTCACTGTAATTGTTTTTCCATCTTGGCATCAACTGTTTATATATATACATATATAAATATGCTACTGTGAATTACCGAAATCGGTGACTGCTGACTTTCACCGGTGAATATTGACACTCACATAGTCGCTTTGGTAAATATCCCAAATACATAATAGATCTAATTAAATGCCATTATCTGTTAAACATTTGTCCGGTACTCCAAATACTGATGTTTCTACTAATCGTTTCTTAGCAGACATTATAATAATCCAATAAATAGAATAATATAAAATAATAAATTATTATCAAATTGAATATAAAAAATATTTCGGACATTCACCTATGTGGTTGTTGATATCCACCGATGAAAGCAGACATTCTCTTGATTTCGGTCATTCACTGTATCATAGTTTTGCTTTTGTTCTTACTTTTGTCCTTTTCCCTCTCTTCTTGTAAATATTCTGCCTACTTATGGGATTTTCTACAATATTTTCCAATGATTTTAAGATCATTCAATTCTATTTATTCTTTTGCATAAAAAAATTTATTTAACAAGAGTCCTGCAACAAGAACATGTCACACCCCCATACTTTTATTAAAATATTAAATAATTTTTTTGTGTCAGTAATTCAGTAGTGTCAGTGTGTCAGTATCTTAGTAAACTATTTTTGAATACAAAATTTCATAACTTAGTCATGCTTAATTTAAATTTTTCTGTTAAGGTATACGTGTAACTTTTTGTTGCGGGTGTAACTATAAGAGTGAAATTAAATAAACTTACCTTTTGTAACGAAGATTAATAATCACTTTTCTGCAAGCAAACACTCAATAACAGCTGTAAGATTATTTATATAAGTTCAGAGATTTGCTGAATAATTTTCTCAGACCATGAGATGTGAAAATTTTTGACTTAGTCTTTTTCACACAGACATAGTGTCTCTTTATAAATTGCAATGAACAAGTTGATGACAAAATTTTTGATAAAATATGGGATAGTATACACTTAACAGTTAATATGCTAAATTTCAACTATATGTAAGGAAATTTAAATTTACATCCTCTATCATGTGGATAGAGCAACTTATGACATTTTTTAATGTTATGTTTTTTTTGTAATATATAAAGATTTAAAGCTTATTAACTGTACAAATCTAAAGATACTATACATATATAAAGATTAAATTACTATATATGTGTATCTTACCATCTCAAGTGTTTTCTGCTAATTATTTTGTTTCAGAAATAGGATTATGAGAGCTCATCACCCTGAAAGATAAGTATTTGCAGAAGGTAGTAAATTATTAAAAATGATTCGTAATCATAATAATTTTTTTACTGACCTTTTTATTTATTTTTATTTAAAAATGTACTTTTTGTATTTCAGAAGGTGCTTTATTTTATTTCTTAAACAAAATTTTATTTTTTAATTTGCATCATTAGCAGTTTTCTTTTCCTGTGCAATTGCTTGACAAATTGCATTAAAAATTATTCAAAACCCAAAATAATTTTTTTTTATCTTGATTATATAATGAAATGTGTCATTTACAAATCTGGTAATACTTCATGTTCACTATGTAAACTTAATTAGACCAACTGTTGTTATAAATCTTAAAAGAAAATAAAAATTATTACAGTTGTTATCCGATAAATATTATTCATTTTTTGTAATGTGTAATATCAACACATTAGCAGATTTTACTCAAATGAACTTTTTTTTAAAGATAAAAAAGAGATTTTTATATTGTGAAAATTTGTAATTGCTTAACTATATAACATTTAAAATTTCTGTCAATCCACTAACTACTTTCTGTTAAAGGTTATTTTTATACATACAATTTTTTTAAAATCTTTTGATGAAATACTCCCGATGAATTACTTTCTTTAAATAATATTATTATTTGTCATAACCAATAAATAGTTGCTTACCTTTTACTGATTTTAAGCAACAATTTTTTTTATTAAATATATTTCAGTTTATTTTTGATAACTTTTAAATCTTTAATATTCTTTTATAACTTAATTATATTTTAAGGTATATTTTGCAAGACAAAACTTTTTTTTTTCTATTTTTGTATTAAATAAACTGATGATTGATTATATTGCTATCCATGTCAACAGTATTACTCAATTACTCAAATACTTGAACACTTTAGTACAAAAATAGCCCCTCCAGTCATAGTTTTAAACAATATATTATTTAGAAAAACTTTTCCCTGTAAAGAAAACTATCATATCCTACTAAAACTGGTGGTCTTTCAGATTGCTTTGCAATCTTAACTTACCAAAATAGTTCATTACGCTTCTTCCTCAACGGAACCTCCACCTCTGATGACTTTGGCATTCATTGCAAATTTCTTAAACTTCGTTGCTCCTAAATTAGGTTGAATTCTAAATAAAATTTATGTTCGAAAGTAAGACTTCGTAGCTGCAAAAGATTATATTTCTATTGCCTGTATATTAAGCTAGACTAAATTACAAAGTATATAAAACAATAATAATGAATTGAAAAATTATTTTAAAAGAATAATCAATCGAAGGCATGAGAGTCGAAAGGCATGAAATCTAAATTCGAAAAGAATCAACAAATAAATTTACTCTTTAATCTTATATCTGGTAAGAAAAAGTTACAATTATGAAATTCAGCCTCTTGTAAAATTAAATTTTAAGTAAGGTGTATGTTTACAAATTCGAAGCATAGAGATTTAAATTGAATCTTTAATTTAGCGAACAAATAATAACATTGAAAAAAGGAGAGAAAATGATAGTTTGAAATCAAATTATAAGAGCGAGACAGGAAACGTATTTGCGATAGTAGAAGACCGAGAATGAAGCAAAGAATTAAATATATTTGTTTATGTAAAGATTAAGATCCAACTACTAATTAAAATATTCTTTTTCTTAATGAGCATAGAATATTTAGTGTTTTGTTCATACCCAAAACACAGAAATGTTGCACGTTTTTTTAGCGTTGCACGTTTTTTTTTTATATGAATATTTTTATAATTAATTAATAGTTCAAAATTAATGGAAAATTTTGAAAAAGCTGGAAAAAAATTTAAAGTTGTATGTGGCAGCAAAAGTTCATTACTTGACTGACATTTTTACTTTACGTTGAAAAATCTAAAAAACCATCAGTATGAACTATTTCATTGTCTTAAAAGTGTTTTGAAGTTTAAAGTGCACTCATTTCCAGACACAAGAGTATCTGCAAAAGTAAAAAAAGAATCACAATTTTCCTGCGAATAGTTCTTGCTAAACATGACGCAAAGAATACATTTGTAATTTTGAAAAAGATTAACTAAGAAAGTACTTATCACAGCAATTAAATTTTGATATCTGTATGTTTTCAAAACGTTCCTGTAAAAATTTAATATTGATCATGAAATAAATTCTCAGTTATGACAATCAGAAGCCAGGTCAGTGATATTTTCTAAAACAGCTATGACTTTTTTTTCAACATAAGGAATAACAGCTATATGAAAGCAATTGTTCTCTGATAATTATTTTGACTTATTTTAATAATAGCTTATTTTACTTTTCAAAGTTAATTTGCTTTTTCTAAAAGTTTCTGTCAAAAGAAAATTTTGTTCAAGAATTTGTTTGTACTGCTCTGAATGTGATGAATAAAATATACAAGCCTTATTGTTGTTTGTTATTTGTTCGTTCTCATTTATTATTCACTAAAACTGTTTACAATTTTGTTTTAAGTACTTCCAAATTTTTATACAATTTTACTTACTTCAAGATTTTAAAATATCTTTGTTTTCCCTTCTTAATCATATCACAATTTGTTAATTCAATATGTAAAGGTAAAAGGCCCCTTCAGGGTCTAAAAGCTTTCAGCAATCTCAGACTATGACAACTATAGTTTTATGATGAAGGGGCATGATACTTTATATTCAATAATTTTCGAGTTTTTTTTAAATAATAATTTTTGTACAAATATTTTAAATTTGAATTGTATAGAAAATTTGAATCTTTCCTCCTCTCTGTAAAAATATGGACTTGCATAAACCTTTTAAGAATTGCTTGCTACCCTGCAAAAAATAATCTAATTTTCTTTAAAAATATGGAGATATTTTCCCCTTATTTATTAAAATGATACTTATTTTCTTTTTATTTCAGATGTCACTTTCGTTTTTTAGTACGAAAAATAACTATTTCATACAAATGAATATTTGAAATTTAGTTTGACACAAAAATAATAAAATTCCATTTGTATAAGATTCAAATAAATTTTAACTGATTTGCTTTTTTTTATTTTTTTGTGGTATACTTTATCTTAAATCCTCTTCTACTAAAGGCTTGAAACTTTATATAAGAACAGTGTATTTCACACAGTCTAAGCATACTATTTTTAAATAATTTATTTTAAAAAAGGTAATATTCAGAAAAGGTAATTATGTAAAATTGAAATGCCAACAATATGCTATGTGCGCTGGCAATATAAAATGCCAGCAATTCAAATGTGTATAATAATATTCTTCGGAAAAAAACTGCATTTTACTTATGTTGATTTGCAATAAGTATTCTTATTTTAGAATAATGACTATTAGCACTTTCTTTTATGTTACTCTAGATGAAATTAAATGTTGAAAGATTTTTGAATCTTTAGGTTTCAGACCTTTTTAAATAATTTTAAAACAAAAGGATAAAATGCTTTTAATATTTATTTAATTAATGACATTTTCTTTCAACTTTATTTCATCTAATATCTACGATATTAGATAACTGAGCCATTAATAACAACCAACTTTTGAAACAATACTTATCACTACGCCTTTGTTAGTGAAAAAAAAAATTTCTATAACCAATGGCAAGACAAAAAGTTCAAAAATCTAAAAGGATAAAAATACAAAAGTACAAATATGTACATGCATAAACAAAACATGACCCAAGTCATTGCCCTAAAAGTTCTCTTGCTTCCCCAATACCTTGAGAAGTCAGTGTGTTCTTCCTGCCCCCCCCCTCGAATCGGAGTAATTGGTCCCATGCCGTACGATGCAGA